GCAAACAGGATCGACAATCCAACGAAAAGGACTCTTTCCAATCTTTTCGAAAAGGACCTTTTCGCAATCTTACTAAATTTACCTTGATCCGTACAGTTTACAACTGATGTTACAAGTTAGTGACGCTGCTAGTCATCAACAAGTTGACTATATTGTACTAAGTCGCAGAAAGTTGCAAGGTAAACAATGTAGAGGGTGATATAAATATGTACAAAGATATCACAAACGTGTAGTATCCTTTACAGCATTGCCATTACCTGTGATTGTTCTATGATCTTTTGACGAACCTCAAACGCACGTGTGAAATAATAGTACTAGACGCCAAAGCGAAAAAATCGTTGGGCTATAGTGCGTTTGCGTTAATAGATGATCTCCTACCTCTGGCAATGAATATAGAGATTTTTTAGGTGTTTTTTTGTTTTTTCAATGTCTTTCAGATTCAGCTGTAGTGGAACGAACGGACTACTAACGACCTCCTTATCGGCCTTTATTTTTTGAAAACCGTTTATTTCGAACGTTTTTGTCGATGATAGACTGAATGCATGTAGCATTTACTTGTTTGCTTTAGCAGGTTACGCAGTAACCATATTTTCCTTGTCAGCAAAGACGCAACTTCGGGTTCCAGCGCTGAACGGAGATACAGTAAAATACCCCCAACTTTCTATATTGTATTACAGTGAGATACATGTTGGTTGGCTAGTTTCGCCGTTCGAACATGCCGTTTCCATCTCTCAAATTATTGCACCTACCTAGTTATAGTATCTCTCAAAGACCATCGTCTCTAATCATGTGCCCAGTCCCATAGTAGCAGCAGTGGCCGCACGTCCTGCGACCGACGTTTCGTCTGTCAGCATCATCAATACTATTAATATTCATAATAAGCTTGGCCGATAGTGAACAGCCTGTTCGATCTTCAAGTATCTTGAAAAGCAGCTCGAATAGGCCTTGCGAAATGCTCCATTTAGATGTTAGCGCGTATCACCGTCAATATATGTGTGGCCCATTAAGGTGGGTTTGATTTATCGAATATCGTGTATTCTGCGTTGGCAATGACCTGGGTATTGGTGCTTTAGACTGAAGCTTTCGATCCCACTTATGACCGATATAAAGACGTTCTAGGTTCCATCTCATGGCGTACGATTTGACATAAGGCTGTAAGCCGAGTTAAATAGAAGGCAAACTGGTATGCTTAACTGATCTATTTACGTGTCTTGATTGTATCTTACACGAAGCAAGCTGCCGACGAGAGTTAGAATCGAAATTGATAGCCGAGGCTTGAGCATTGTGATTGTTGCATAATTTTTTTCATCCAGTTGTCGTATGTTGGAACGAGAGCTTATGTGTACTACCAGTAGGTTGGAACAAACTTCCTTTATGTATATATTGTTCAACAGGGATGCATGTCAGACGCGCACTCACATGACGAGAAACATTTTTTTTACACAGTTTTGTTATTTTCGTGTACAACTACAAAGAGGCCTAAGAATCAATTGAATCGGCTGCTCGATTCTTAGGGTATGCTTTAGGAAAAGCAGACAGACAATTTCCTGCCGCTTGGCAGGTTTAATTATTGCGCTTTATTAGGCAAGTGACATTAGCAAAGGAATATAGGAAAAGAGACATATAAAAATTGATGTACAACTTCTGGATAACACACTTCGGCAAAATTTTATGCTAAATAGCTTTAAAAAACACTGGCTTGAGCAGAATTTTCAGGTCGTTCGTATGTGATACCAATGAAAAGTTCAAACTACCCGTATAAGACACCTACAAATACCACTCATTTAGCATAGTGGTGGAGTTAGAATCTTTTTTAGATTAATCGCTGCTTATCATCATAGACAATGCTGATCGATAGATCAAGCTGACCTTCAACGAATGAATGTTACCCTACTAAGATGCAATCTTAGCTGAGTTAGTGCCGTAGCGACGCCGGCGTCGGAAGGTTTACAGGCTTAACTTGATGACTTAATTATATTTACGATTAAGTGCAACATCTGCGTTCTGGCCAACGTCCGTGTACCCTCACTGCGAAAACAAATTGCAAAGCGACCACCCCCCACTGACCAAAGTAAATACATGGATCGCTTCGGCCATGCCAACTTTGATGCGGGGTAACAAGCGATAAACGGTGCTCGTTTGGAGGAACGTAATCTGATCAAACCAGCGAATGCGGCAATGGCCATTCTCTCGTATTTCATAATAATACTCAGAATAATAGTAGTATTATGTGCCAGTGGCTGCAGAGCCGACATAATTGTTAGACATACATGCCTGACAATTGAAAATGCGTAAAAGAGAAAGAAATGTTTACATCCAGTTAGGATTACTCTTTTCCCAGCCCCACCTCCCTACTTTAGCTAGCTCGGCGGCCGACTCTCAAAAAATTGGCCACGCACTCTCAGTGGCACGGTGCCTCTTAACAGTCGTCGTCCGTTGGCCTCTCACGATTTTCGACCCTCGACCGAGCAGTGACAGAGAGGCAGTGAGAGATTCTCGATTTAAACCTCAGCGGATCGTTGCACATCGGGGGTACAGTAGTATCTGCAGAGAGAAACCGACCGAAAGTAATGCAGACGGTAGCTGGGCGAACGGGTTTACAAAGAGGCTCAACGTGCACCCTCTCTAATGGCTTCACGTTTATTCGCAATTTTCAAAATGGACGACGTAATTTGCAATCCTCCCTCGCGACGCAATGCGCGATAGCTTTCCCGCACTAACTTCTTCCTTACTTACACTGTCGCTAGTAGTGATCGTGCCAACGAGTATGAAACCTGTATATCGAGGAGCGGCAGTTCCTCTCCACTGACATTGGCTTGCAATACAGCGGCTGACACGTAATTCACGCACTGTGACACAGATGAATGTTCTCCGTTCCCGGCGAGTCACCGCAGCATTGCGAGATGATTTCAAATGCCAACATATTATAAGGGAAGGGGCTACAGGCACTCACAGCAGAATGCGCGTGCGGCACGGGATATATGTCGACTTACACACTCGAGGGCCTCGCTCCGTTTGTTCACAATGACAAATAATGATGCTGAGGGCCACTTATGGTACAACAAGATGGAACGAAGCCATAACGACGAGACGCCATTGCTACCGGATGCTGTACACTGTTCTGTGGAACAGATAGTGATTTCGTTTGCGAGAAAACCGCTGTTACTACAAGCATTTTCGTTCATCCATAAGGTCCTCTATGTTGATGATACGGCAACAATAGCAGAACAGTATAACAGTTTATTGTCCTTTGATTCTGAAATGAATTTTACAGGCTCAACCCACTGTTGGCATTGATGTTAATGTTATCGTTGGATTTGTGTCATTTTCGTGGCGGTATTCCTGTCACGGTTCCTCCTAGGGCTCACGGACACAGTGAACGACGACGCCGTCGAATAGGACGCAGGGCAGCAACAGCATTTGGTCATCGACAGATTATGGCATGGCTACATACGTTTGGTTAGGATAAAATTGGTTGGTCACCTTATAAAACGCGAAGCGTTTGTTTGCCCTGCTTTCTCCAGCTGATTGCTGTCGGGGTAGGGAAAAATACTTCGAATGGCAAAACATTTTCCTCTATTGTTGTCCACTACATAACGGCAGGGATTCGTCGGACTTTGTCCGACTCTATGGATAGAAGAAAAAGCAAATCTATCTTACTAAACGATACAGCTGGGCATTGTAAATTTCAATCTCAGCAAGCTTCGAAACCATCTTCTTATATCAAACTTGCCACATACCAGCATCCCGTTACTTCATCCCCTTGTGACTCGTGGCCAAAAAAGTCAGCAGCTGAATGTTTTCTCGCATTGAGTCACGTCAGCACTGACATCGAGCGGCAGTGTCCGAAATGGTCTAGTCCGGTCAACTCCTCCGGCTACCCGGTTAGCTGGCAGTATTATACAGCTGGGGCGCGAATCGTCCGACTGTACTCTACGACTGGCCTACTACGATGCGTGGGCTCGGGAACAAAATCCGTTTGCTCGTGGCCTTTGCAAATCGACTAATGTTGCCGCACCATATTTAGGCCTCTTTTTTTCTGGCAAAGAACGTAACGGGCCTGTTTGGCCTGCTCCCACCTTTCGTCATTTATTCGAGCCTGCGACATAGAAAGCCCAAAATCATCACCCTCTGCACTATCGTATGGTGTCACAAACAGCGAAGTTACACCGAGAGTTACTTGTCGCCATTGCCACTCGTCGTACGGGGCGACTTCGAGTCCTATTGCTGCTGCGGTGACTGATTAACATCGCGCCAGTGCTACCAACAACTTAGGTGGTACTTCGGCCTCTACCTCTTCCTTTTAGCCGAGAGTGATCTGCTGAGAGCTTTTCTTAGCTTCAGAGCTGAAGTGAGAAAAAGCCTTTGCCGTAGTAAAGTTAGCAACTTGCCAGTGTGTCAATGGCTCATCAGTGACGTCAACGTTGCTTACAGCGTCTACTAGCTGCCTGTATAGCAAACTGACTACAAGGGATTGCAAAAACGGTCTAAACTGGTTTTAAAGAAGCCTACTACTGAGCAAGACTGACGATCTGTAGACAGCCTTATTCATCGGTCAACTAAGACATGGGTTGTCGTCGTTGGGTCATTCGGTCGGTTGTAGTGATGGTCAAAAAGACGACAATGTGACTCACGGCAGTTGTGGCTATGACAAGTACGCACAAAGTCTGCACAAAGTACGCAGTAATGCCTCAAGTTGGTTTGGCAAGTTGAGCCGGTATCGGACGACATACTGGGCTCTATGTAAGCGTAGCGCTCGTAGATAGTGTTATCAGTCTTGATAATATTGGCCCTTTTAGCAGCAAAATTTCATGATTTTTTATTTGTATAATTTTTCTAGGAGCGCAGTCGATGTCGCACAAGAAAGCACTGTTTCGTTCACCGTCCGCGCCCACATCGTGAGAATTTATCATCACCCACCATTATATATATATATATATATATATATATATATATACAGAGTACGTGTGCTTGTGAAAAATGTAGTATATAATACAAACCTGTGCATAGATAAAGGTGCAGCAGTAGAATGAAGACCGTGTGATATCCTAGCGACGATCGGGAAATTGATGACAGCATCCAGCTTCTGTCCGACGACACAGATGGCTCCATGTTGATGCCCATGTTCATCATCATTTCATTTGTCGTCGTTTATGATGATTAGGCGTAGTTACTAACAAGTGCACAACTCTCACACACATGTCCTTCCAATCATTGGTGTAATCAGTTAACCTTCCAGTAATTCTGTCTCCTTTACGTGCACAAGCGTCAGCAAGAAGCAAACAAAAAAAAAAAGACATCCACCCGACTGAAATTAGCTTTAGGTTGGGCCTACAGGAACCTCTGTTTCCCAGCCTTTCAACACACGACAACAATATTCACCACAGATATCACACCGAAGTCGCGTTCTTTTCACTGTTGAGTTCCGACGCACACACCTGTGACTTTACCCATACCTGGCCCACTTATTAAAGGACTACAGAGGATAATAGGGCAACACTATTTTGTGGAATTTGTAAGAAGTATTCAATTTCTCGATGTTCTCTTTTTTTTTTTATATTACAGACACCTTTTATTAGAATTATTAGGTAGCAATATGATTGCGAGAAGTAACAATGATTTTGTTTGTAATTTGCCAGTATTCCTCGGGGCCAAGCGGTTCTCCTAGGTCGAAATACATCGGTGTTGTATGCCCACTGAGGAGGGCATATTGGTGTTTTACCGACAAATCATTATATACACTAAACGATCGACAACTATCCCACATCATAGCGGATGTCACACAATGCGTTCACTTATTTGGCATCTGCTATTTCTAGCAGTAAGATGGCGGTTATTGTTGACTACGACTCAGAACTAAGCGGCTTTTCAGGCAGCTAGCTGTTCGCCTTCGACGAAGAAGCGTATACAGTCCACCATACACTAAGCCTGCTGTATGTATCGCGCACTGGATTTTTCCTTTACCAATTAGAGGAAGATACAAAGGCACACGAAGAATCGTGGGGAACGTGCGCCCCACCACGCTGTCTTTCCTCGGTTTACGCCCTGTGTGGGTCGCGGGTCCCGACCGCCAGAAGAAAGTGACATGTGGACTTTGTGAAAGTTTAGGAGAACGGAGTGGAGAGGGCGCAAGGGCAGGGGGCGAGGGCCGTTCCTTTCTCGCGGTTGTGGCGCGCTGGCAGAGCAGCACGGGGGCAGGCACTAGGCCGCCAGCTATCTGGCGGCAACTCAGGAGGTTGCTTGCTTGCTGGGCCAGTGTCTGTGCAGAAAAGGCAAGCAGGATAAGCCGCTCAGACTGCCACATAGGGATGCTGCTACAAATGGAACGAACGACAGACGCTGGAGCGATTTGAGTGAGAGGGAGGGTTCATGGAAGACTGAACTTAGCGGAGGAGCCGTCTCGGGCGCTCACGCCGCAAGTCGATACACATTGCTCCTGCTATTACCGCGTAGTCGAGGAACCCAAACGGCCTGGCACGATGAGGGGCGGACTGGCAGAATGCCTCCTCACCGTTACCAAAGACCACCCTTGGCTGAGCCACATCGTCTGTAACGAAGCCAGCGGACCCCGTTTTCGGCCTTTAGCAAGTGACTTGCCTGCAAGCCAAGAAACAACGGGGCCTACACTCCTCTATCTATCTGTTTAAGAGACTACCACAGAGAAGTGGAAGCCTACTGTATGGACTGGATGCAAGTAACCGGGGGTCCAGTGGCAGGCAGGGCATAATCAGATCAGCTTTAAACTCACTCAACCATCGGGAAACAGCCAGCCAGCTCATCGTGTCAGGCGGTCCAGCGGTCGTCTTGGCCCCGCTACGGAACCGACGGGCCTAGCACAGCAAGAAACGCACCAAACGGAGAATGTTATGAGTGGAAATTGTGACAAGCTCGGAAAAGGGGGCAGAAGGGATGGAGAAAGAATAAGCTTCTACAGAGTTGTTGACCCCACTAGCCCTCGAGGAACTCTGGAAGTTTCCCCGTTAACGTAACGCAAGATGGCTTCCCCGCTCACATCGCAGACCTCTAGCGTTGTTCGGTTTCTAGATGAATGATTTGAAGTCGAATAGGGAGCAAATGAAGGAAATGAAACTACACGACATAATCCCTGTGTATATGCAGGCGTTTTAAGGAATATCCTATGCAATAAGCCTCAAATCTATATCAAATAATTTCTGATAACTAAAGAACAATGTTTGCAAATGTCAGATCTGAGATTCGTAAGTTCCTGCTGCTTATGCAATTAATAAACGCATTTGCCCTAGGACGGATATGAGTGAAAGAATATAAATAGGAACATTGACCGTAATTCCCAAGTTTCCTCGAGATAAATCAGAACCCATTGGTTTCCGTTCAAGTATCTTACGAATCATACGCTCTTGTCAAAAGCAGTGACAACTCAACGTTTTCTGAATTCATTGTTAGGCTTCAAACATATAAATAGTAGTTCTTATGGGCTCCCGCTATCGAATTGCACACTCTACAGATTCGAACTTCGCGTGAATCTATCGACATATGTTTCCCCAATTGAACTGGAGGTATTCGGCGAGTCGAAATTCGCCTAGCTACGATCAAAGCAGACCCCCTAGTAGTTCAGACACACCTGTGATACTAGAAAACGTTAACTCACAGCTCAGACATAGTGCGTCTGTGAAGGAGGATTCTCTATAATTGACACCACTGCTGAAATCAGCGCCTCACCATTTTGTCACCAAAAGGGGCGCCTGGAGTTCAGAGCGAAGGGTGATAGTTAAGTCGGCGAGTCGCTGGAAGCGCTGAGTCCGACGATTGGGGTTTGGACAATGCGTTCACTACTATCTGGATAGTTAGCAGCGGTGGCGCTGGTAGTGATGGCGGTTGTTGTTGAGTTCTTCAAGAAGCCTAACATCGGCCATGAACCAAGGCAAACGACTGGCGAAGGCTGGTGCAGGCGCCCGACTGAACGAACCAAAGTGGCGTATGAGTCAATACCACGGAATGCTCTTTACCGTCCGTTCGTCCGAAGTTCATGCTTGTGGCCTGCCCTTATTGGGCACCGAAAGTGATGTGGGGGGACCAGTACACAACCCCAGCCCCATTGCAAACAAGGAAAATTGCTTCGCAATGGACCTCTTCATTCCAACGGATCGGTCCACCAGCAGCGAGCGGTAGTGGGTGACGATACGAGGCTGGACGTACGCTCAGCTTTTCTCTCTAGGCAGCTCCTTCAGCGTTCACAGCCGTTCGGACTTGTTCGAAGATTCGGCTCTGAGTCTGCAGTAAAATTGTAGTGAAAGCGAGGTAACGTCGAGTGAAATAAAACTAAGAGCGGATGTAAGTGGGCCCATCAGCCCACTGCTCGAAGTGACCGCGTCGGATGATAGAGGAATTTTAACATACTTTTAGATATAGCTGGCTAACGACTGGCAAATCGTACGAAAAGAACTGTAAAAAAGATATTAGTATTGAAATGAAGTTGAAGACAGCTGTTGCCGGCGTACGGCGCCGCTTGTGAGTTAATCATACATCTAAAATAGAAAAATAATTTGTAAGGAGTCGACTAATTTAATTAAAATTCTATCTGTATTGGTATAAAAAAAAAAGCTGTGAAAATAATATTGGTACAAAACAATCGATTAGTAGTAGTAGTAGTAGTACTGTGCAGACGCATCGCGTGGGCCTTTGAATGTTTTTTCTTATTAATATATTATATTATTATTAATAATATTAATAGGACTACCTCGAGCTCAAGAGGAGGATCGACCTCAATATTTGAGCGAATTTATCTGTATATTAACGATGGAAGATCGGTTCTACTCAAGCCAGTATCCAAAGTAAGCCACCATTCAAATGTACGATTAATTTAAATCCGGCCCTAGAAAGCTAGCTAGTAAGTAGAATTACCATGTTCCTTTCGACGTTATCTCATAGTGACGCCAGCGATACGGATACCTAAGACCTGCCGTATATCGGGATAAATATTACGTGTGTTCTAAAGGTCGAGAGAAACAGACAAGGGTATTTTTGTTCTATGTAAAAAGCTGATAGAGGGTTTTTACGTTTCGATCACCTCCATTTAGGCTGTCGAATTCGTAATGTACCGTTGCCGCTTACTGCGAATATTGAAAAAGAGGCAAGAAACAACACTACACGGCTGCTACTATTGACTATGTACTACAAGTACGTGATTGATGTGTTCTTAAGTTAAAAACCCGTTACCGGACTGATTACTGCAACTAGAGGTCAGAATGGTCCGCACGTGTAGCCATGAAGTTTCTCGTGTGTATCATAGGACCTAATATACATTGTGCTATAATAACAATGTTTACGTTCGAGACGGTAGACATCTGCAGAAATCCATCACCTCAAATGAGTGCCACGAAGCATCATTGAATGTTATGTACGTTGATGTCATGGTTGAATATGATATAATGTATAAATAACGATATTTAAAATGCGCCCAGTAGGACAAAACTGAAAATTGTTTTAAAAAACAATGGAAGTGTCTGCGTGTTGCGAGACATTGAAGACTTGCTTCCCATTCAAAGATTCGTTCATGTATTCGTTGATGGCCTATGCTACACAATAATGAATGCTGTAATGAAGTCCGGATTTCCGGGAAAGACGGAAGTTCAGTCGAGCAAAGGCAACAAAAAAATAAAACTCCATCTTATAATTCGTTATTAAAGCTATCTCTTGTCTTATCTTATAGTTAAAATTGGTCAGATTAGTTAACGTGAACTTACTTATATGAATCGAATACTTACAAACTTTTCCATATCTTGAAGCAATGTATCAATCGGTCGCTAGATCGACTGTTTCTATACAGATAGAAAATGTAGCGGCAAAAAAATTAGCTAATTTTATTGATAGGAAACGTACTATATTATCCATGTTGCTGACGATCCAACTTAAATAGAAGTATTTAGTATATTTTCTCACACAAGAACAAGTACTATTCATAAAGTTACAGCTTTCTCGAGATGCGCACTAGCAAATATTTTCTTCACATATACGTACACACAAATACCATTTTTCCGTCCAATTTTCAAAGAATATAGTTGAGTCAATAAAATAATTAGTTTGTTTTTTTTTTTTTTATATATTTCATCGAGCATTTATTATATTACTATAGTATAATGAAGCATATTTCATCTATATAACTCCAGTTTATGAGTCTTTCACTCGAGCGTTTCTAACTGATATTGGCATAAATCATCAAGTTTTTTTTTTTTTTTTCAAGTTTACACTAAACCGCTCGTTATACGTAGATCAGATCAGTTGCTCAATGTACTAACAGTTCCTATATAAAGAAATATACTAAAAACGCTTACAGAATTAAGCAGAAGAAGGTATTCCATTCAAATAGTCATTATGGTATATATCAATGAATAATCTTCGGTGTACAAGTTGGTTACATACACTTCTTGTTTGGACTAACTAATGATCTGTGACCACACCACCCACTTAATTAGAGGAATTAAATGGAATATATTTACTCCGAAAAAAGAAAATCTGTGAATTTATGATATTCACGCGGATATTATCTATACGTGCAGATCATATAAGAAATTCGGAGGAGATCCATCTGGCTATGTCCTATGGTACTGATTAGCTTAACTTTCACAATGACCTCAGAAGCCATAGAGCCTCCTCTCCTAAAATAGATCTGAACTCCAACGAAAATTTAATACAGTTAGTCCCGATTTCGAACATGAACGTTCTAGAGAAGAGGCTATCAAAGACAAATGCAGAATTTTAACATTTAAAGTGTAACGCCACTGAAACATTTGCAAAAATATCGTTTGTCTATTTTTACACATATTTTTCTCAAGGGCGAGTTTGATCAGGGGAAAAAGCAAATCTTAAAGTAACGAATTTAAAATCAGCCGGAATGCAAACATTTGTAGTAGTTACAATCAATGCCCAAAATGCAACGATCCGAGGACTAACAAAAGAGGAAGAGCAATTGATTGAATCTGTTACTGATAGTTTTCCTAAAAGAAAAAAAATAGACCAGTTAGATAAGCATCTAACCAGTTTACTTCACATATCTTGTAACAGCAATGAGTGAAGAG